GAGGAGATCCTGTTGCTGCGCACCTTAGCTCTGATCATCCGAAGCAAGAAAAAAGATAATGCGTCTGTTCATCTGTTCTCTCACATGTCGGAAGCAAAGGGCGCTCTTGTCATCGCTTTTACAGTATATAGATGATTAAAAACTGCATGCAGTCCCAACATCACACTCTGACATACGAATGTGATCAGAGAGTTGATTCAAGGATATCTACCAGTTGGGTTTTGACCATGGCGCTTTGACTGTGGCACGCATGTCTGGTTGCCGCAATCCACGTGGTCCGACGGGCAGCCTGCCATCTTGCTCCGCACGGCCCGCACGGTGACGTTCACTTCACCCAAAGGGCCTCTCAAAAAGCGCTCACAGCGACACTAGCTTGCAACCTTGGCACCTCTTAAAACTTATCTAAACCTAAGAGTGGTGTGAGGGTAGGTTTTCATTATGTATATGGTCGTGGTGTGCGGTGGGTATGTACCCGTGTGTACGCGTAGCGTGTGCGGTGTGTGCGTGCGGTGTATGCGGTGCGCGCGCGCGGGGAATGCGGTGTGCGCGTGCGGTGTGTGCGGTGTACACGTGCGGTGTGCGCGGTGTGTGCGTGCGGTGTGTGCGTGCGGTGTGTGCGGTGTCTACTGTGCGTGCGTGCGGTGTGTGTGTGTGTGTTGCGGTGTTTGCAGTGTGTGTGAGGTGTGGGCGGGCGGTGTGTGTGTGTGTGTGTGCTTTGCGATTTGCGATTTGAAGCTGTGAGATACAGAGACTTTAGTGAGGCCGGGGCGCTGGATGCTATGGCTCAAATAGAAGGGGGCCACTGTTTTTGGATTGAAGTTGGAGGCAGAACAACTTCAGAACAACCTATGTAAACTACAATAATATCTGATAACTAGACTCGACCTGTGCCACCCAGCGCACGGCACAGAATGGCCATGGTGTAAACAACCAAGTGTCAATAAGATCAGGACATGCAAAAATAGCAAAAAGACTTTTCAGACATGCAAAAATAGCTATGTCTCGCCATGGTGGCTCGACAGCAAAATCGTTTCAGGAACAAGTTCCTGAAGAAATGTTGGGGCCTAAATTTAATTGACACTTGAAAATTGAACAGTTGAAGTTGGACGTTGAGATTTGATGACTGGCCCAACGTCCTTTCATTTTGGGGTTGGTTAGGCCGAGAGCTGGTTGCTGTGAAGAAGGTGACAAAGGCAAAAGACTCTGGAGAAAGGCACGCTTCGATGAGAACACATAGCGAAGCTTTCTAGAGCATGAACACACATTACCCGGGTGGTCCAAGGATTCTTCTTCCAGTGTTGACCTTGCTAGGTGGGCAGCCAATGAATACATCAATAAGCACGCAGTGAGGAAAGCTGATGTGGCCAAAGCTGAGGGACAGCGGAAGGTTCCTGGCAAAGGCCGTTACAAAACGTGGGATTCTCGAATGATGCTGAGAGCATCGTTTCTTCGCTTGAATAACCTAAATAGTTTAAATTTTAAACGCAGGACTCATGACTCTACTACTTAATGACTACACAACTTACACGACTAAAGTGATTAAAGGCTTAGGTTTGAGCCGCAAGCAACAACCAACTACTACTGCAATAATCGAAAAATAGAGATGGCGAAAGCTTAGGCTTGGCCGTGGTTGCAGTGCGAGTGGTATTGGCAGCAAATTTCCACGATCACAGGAGAAGGTTCCATGTATGTTTTCCCTGGGCAGCTTAGCCTATTGGACATCGACAAGCACAACTCACATAGCCAAGGCTATACCTGTTGGCAAAATGTTGTTTGTTTTTTCGTTGCAAGTTAAGTCTAGAGTCTAGAGTCTAGAGTTTAGGTATTATCCTGTTGTTTGCAAGACAGTAGGCCTGTCAGAATAACCTGAAGCAACACCAACATTAGGTTCCATTGACATGGTCAGTTTTCAATAGTGGAGCAAGCGTAAGACTATTTTCCTGTGTATAGTAAATAGGACATATGGATCTCTATGTATGTATGTTCTATGATTCTACGCATATAATATTATCTATATACTACATTCCAGCCTGTCAAGGTACGAGCCTCTGTGGCAGAATCCTATGCGGAGAGAGTGGTGGAAGCACTTCAGAGGATTCAAGAGGTTCTGCCCTTGGAGTGCTGCTTTCAGTGTCGAACGAGGCAGAACATGCACTGAACTCAACTCAACTAAAGCGGCATATCGATGAGCTGCATATTTATACGTAAAAACAACTTGAAACATGAATCACACCCTGTGCAGTAGCTTGCCAGAAGCTCCAAGGCCAAACCATTCATTTCCAGCGTGATGATCGAATTCGATTCCTCCAGCGTCAAGATGAGGGCTAAATTAAAATCAGTGCTGCCTGGAGTTGTGTCAATGGAAGCAGATGCGAAGTTCCATTGCCTTGCAACTGTTCCAACTTAAACTCAAACATACTCAAACATCAGTAATTTTCGTCGGCCGTGTGTTCACTGTGTTCACCTGAACTGCTGGAGTGTTCACTTTAAAGTTTAAAGCACAGCACTGCCACCTAAGGTACAGCGGTTGAGCTTGAATACTCTCAAGTCAAACGATGAAGATGCATCATGGTCGTGACTTGTCTGCCTACAGTGTACAGAGTGTTATGCAAACAGGACCTTTGTCAAAGCATGAGAACTGTAAACTTTACACTGTACACTGTATATATAGACTGTAGAGTCCATAGCTGTGATTACGTTTTTGTATGTGAGCCAAGTCACGCCGGAATTCCTATGGTGCCATCCATTTTGGAAAGTGAGAAGGCAGAGGATATTTGGAGCGCGCTCATGCAAAGACATCCTGTGGAATTGCTCAGCGTCTAGATTCAAGGTTCTAGTTTTGTTCAGTACTAGTTGTGCTGTGTAGTTCTTCTACTCAAACACAACTAGCGATTGAATTGAATCTAGCAGCTTCCATGAGGTTGGTGCAGCTCATCGTCGATTTGCTTGCTGAACTTCGTTTCCGATGGAGCATATGCCAACTTACGTGTTTACAACGCATTTGTAACACCTATGGTGCAGCAGCGTGAAAACATACTTTCACTGCAAAAGATTTGTGACATGCAGCTTGCAACTCAAGCTAGGCAAAGTTGTTAGTTTTGTGCTTTGCTGAATTAGCCAAAGCCAATAGCCATATAGTGTCTATTGTGAGTTGTGAGTCATGAATGAGGCACAATGTGAACAACAGCGCAGAGCCTTTGTGGAAAGCCATGAAGTTGCTTCCTCCCATGTTCCTTATCTCAAAGCAAGACCCTGCACTTGTGTTCAGTTCAGATTACAAAAGGTCTCGTCTCATGTTGTAGCTTAGCTCTGATTTAACTGCTTTGTCACATGGTGGGTGAGAACAGATTGACAACTTGACCGTTTAGTGATCTGAAATAGAATAGAGTGCAATTAGCGATACTTGTCTTCATATAACAGCTTCAGCAGCTTTATTTCTAAGGTTCTATGGGGTTGGCTGGATGTCGAATGGGTCAAACTACCTGGGATTGCTACGCGCGGCTCAAGAATGGATTTTGCGTCCTGACACCGTCCGTGTTATTTTCAGCGAGGCGTGTCCAGGCTGCATTTGAGAATGCTGGCCAGCTAAATGCCTGGCCATGATGCATCAGCGATATCAAGCGCATTTCTTGTTTCTCACCAATTCTTACCACAACCACCAATGACCTGACTATGAAGGAACATAGGGGTGGACACAATGCTAGGCCGTTTTGGCTCAAGAATTTTGTGTTGCTAGTTGCTGCTTTCAACTTTCAACAGGTTACTTGGCAATGGTGCGGGGGCCAATGGTGCACATTCTTGGTTGCAGCAAAAGACGGAAGATTGATCCATCGCAAGCTGAAACTATGCCTGTACTTCCAGTTGACCTTCCCCTTCCAGACCCTGAAGATGGGACATCTGGTAGTGAGAGTATTTCACTTTCAGAAAATTCCTTTCACGAAGCATGGACAGATGACAGCACAAGTGCTTCGTCAGTACACCAAGTGTGGGGAATACCCCCCGGCTTTGTTGGGGAGGCCAACGCACCAACCCCTGAGGGGCGAAGCTCATCTGTGTCCATGTGTCCTGGCATGTTGTATATATTGAAGTTTATTTGGCCAGCCACTGGCCACTCTGTTTTGTTAGTTAGTTTGTTTTGGGATAGGCTGATAGGCCATTGAACTGCTCTAGCGCAGAGCAAAAGCAAACTAAGGGAATCAACTTCATCCGATGTCGTTGATGATGATCATGTTGATGGAATGCTTGAAGAAGATCTACCATCACCCTTTACACCAATAGGTCCGGCGCCAGCATCACCTGATCCGGCGACAACGGTAACAGCTGGGCCGGTGCCCTCTATGCCAACGCCCGGGACACCAGAAGGGTCGCCACCAGCAACACCTGAGCCAACCGCGCAGCCTGCGAATTCGGAAGGAGTTTTTGCTCCTGCAACACCTCCGGGGTTGCTAACCGGACTACCCCTTGAAATGACCCCAACTCCTCCTGACATTTGGTTGTCACAATAGAATGGAGGGCGGCTGCCAAGTGTGAACCCATTGGGAACGGAATTTGTGCAAGAGGAACGTTGGCAGCCACCTTGACTGCAGCTAAAGACCACAATAGACTTAGACTCCACTAATGTCGCATGAGGCCTAAGTCAGAGTCTAAACTCTAACTCTAGACTCTAGACTCTAGACTAGAAAAATGTTTGAGGTTAGTTTGAATCATGTTGAGTGCACTATGTAGTGGCTGGCGGCATATCTCTGCACCTTTTGATTTTGAATAGGTTTGGGGCAACAACCAGATGTTGGCCCAACTCGGTAGCAGTAGCTCAAGGCTCTGCAACAACGTAGTTTGTGAAGATCAAAAGTTGAAAGGATTTGGAATGGACACTTCGGAAAAGAACAGTTGACTCGGGGAAGGAGACATGAGGATGGGAGTCTGCAATAGGATGGTTTCACTTTCACGGGACACTTTCTGACTTACAACTTCACAATTCACACCTGACAACGGTTCTAGTATCTACGCAACGGAACATGAGATGTGGGAACCTAACTAGTTTCTTGCTTGGGGTACAAGAAGGGTCCACAGTCTATGTATCCAAAGACTACATAGGTTCCAAAGAAGTCAAAGGTAGTTTAAATTTATCATACAAACACTGCCGGAAAATCACCAACATACAGGAGTTCAGTTCAGGTATCTGCGTGATTCAAGTCAAAGGAATAGGGCAAACAAATTTGCAGCTCCAAGCTTCCCGATATTCCAGAGAGGAAAACGAGCTCGTTGGTCAGTGATTCACAAGAATTTAATCTAACCAAGCCCTGTTTGCTTGTTTCACGGGCGGTCACAATCCAGATGCAGTACAGGTAGTACAGGGGAGGCAGGGGGATAACTAAGGGAGGCAAATAGAGCTATTGAAGTTGCAGATGGCTTTGTTTTCACTATTGGGTGGTGCATATCTACAGGATTTGTAGGCTTTGTGTGCAGTAGTGTATGATCTGTTGCACTGCTGTGCATTGCAAGGGGTTAAGTAGAGGTGAGGAGAAGAAGGGTTCACTTGCGGTGTTTGAATGGGAAGTTTCCATTTCATTAGTGAGTGAACGAAGCAAATACTTAGCGGAGTCTTCGACCAATGGTTCAAGTCAATCAATAGTTTAACCTCCGGTGTGGGGTTTACAGTTTTTTACAACTACAACAACAACAACTACTACTACTACCACCAATTAGGTGCTGTTGCCCAGCAACACCCAGCCTTCACTTAGGCCTGATGTGAACATCCGAAAGCGAAACGCAGACTTCTTGGAGCTGGTGTTTGCTGGGAAAGACAAGGAGGAGGATGGTAGTGAGTCCAAGAACAGAAACCAATACCGTGAATTGATGGATGCGTTGCTTGATGTAGACAACGGGCGCTGGGATGATTCTAGTCATATATACCATCATTGCGACGGGCTCTTTTGCTGCGCTGGTGGTGTAGTGGAGACACGAATCAAGATCTTGAACGCGGTATTTGCATCTCAGAATGAAGGAATGCATGCTTTCTTGTCTTTACCGTGCTTTCTTCGAACCGATTGTAGCAGTCCTTGCTATGAATGCATTGCTTTTTTGGGTTAAATTTAAATTTGGCTGACAGGCATTGGTGTTCAAGATCAAACCGGTCATGCCCGCAGTCTCCCGCTGGACCAGTTGTGGAAGAACAAACCGATACTTCCTGCTACTTGGGGCACTAGTTATGTATCGCCGTTGCTACTACCTACCTACCTACCTACC